TTGCACCCCACAAGTCGATTTTGACTTTGGAGTTAAAATACGAGTACAATGCCAATAATGTTAGTAGACAGTGCCAAAAAAGTGCAGTACAATGCTACTATACAGTGTCATAATATCACAGATCAAATTCCTATTTTGCAGATAAAAACATGAAACTCAAATTTTGAGGATAAATGCCACTCCCTCTGTCCACTATAGATCTTCCCAGTTATTATTCACAGGGTCAAACTTTACTCATTTTGTTTGCTTATTTTTACTACTCATTTCATAAAATAAAATAGTGTTGTCACCTATAGTTTTGTAGAACTTATGTACTTTTTTACTATATAAATTTTAATTTTAAATTTTATTCTTACAATCAAATAAATTGAATTGAAAATAAAGTCGGTCAAACCTCGTAACGCGCAATGAAAAGATCATTGATGGACAGAGGGAGTATGTTTTACTCTTATTTGGAATGATTTCTTTTTTACAATCACATGGGGAAATCCCAACTCAACATCTATTTAGGTTGTCTATATATGGCACACACATTTCTATGATTTCTTGTGGCAAAAGCTCTAAACATTTTGACCAGACCAATCCATATGTATTACTGTAAAATATACTCCGTAGTTACTTAACAAGTGTACAGAAAGGGAAATCTGGCCCTAAAATATGCTCCAACAGTTGTTCCCTGTGCAGTTTCATCAGAAGCTAATCCTACCCCATCTAATATTTCAGCAAATGATGAAACAACTTTTGATCCATCGGTAATGGATTCGCAGTGAACCTCCAAAAGATTGGGAGTCCGAATAAATTACGTGGCGCGACAGAGAAGAAGAATGCGTACTCACTGCATTTGCCCTCAGGGAAGAGCCGGAAGCTCCGCTTTCTTGCATGAGATGAAATTAACACGGCCGTGTTCTGCGCTGCATACTTTTATAGGGATGCCATTGCAGCGCCTCTCTAGATCTTCGACATGTCGTTTGGATGGCGGAGAGCCTCTGCATAAGAAGATTCCTCACTTTCAGAAAAAAAAAACACTACATAAACACATACAGGAATTTTTTTTAGCGTGAATTCCATAGATGGTCCGTAGTAATAGCTGTTTTTCAATATTTAGTCCCTACTTATCAAATACTACAAGCGTAGTCCCCATTTCTTTAGTTGTTTTCCACGACCAATCCTTTGTGACTCATGTTGTTATCTGCCTATTAAATACGGAGTACTAGGTTAAAAAGGTAATTTTCCACTCCCACCTCTCAATTAAACCCGTCGGGCAGAACCTGGAGTGTTACCCCCCCAAAATAGAGTATGTTAGATTATAGTTACGGGGAAAAACACAAATCCTACCAAAAAAAATGGATAGAAACATTACCCGGTAAAACATAGTATAAAGCTTGGTTCACCCGGAGAAGATTTTTTGAATCTGGAATTGGGAGGGTAAACATCAAACACTGGTTTCACTTCATTAATGTTGACACCGTTTAACCTCTCACAGATGAAATTAGGGTCTTCTGATGAACCGGTTTTTTCTGCGGATGGGATGACACTAGGACTCATAGTAGTTCTCTTGTGAGTCCAAAGAAAACCATGACGTTGTACAATGTACCCAAGGCACTTCAACTGTCTGTAAGCTTCAAAAGCATCCCAAGAACATCCATTTTTTTCTTCTGAAACCTTGTTATATACATCTTTAAGAGACATCGGTGTCTCACTATGCCCAAGAACATGCAAAGCCCCTATTTCAACTAGATATCTACAAAAAAAAGACCAATACAGAAGAATCTTCAGCCTTCATATCTGTAGCAAATGCGAAAAAAATGAAAAACCAAAAAAGAAACGAAATTTTCCACGTACAAAGCTTCTTCAATGAAACAATAGATTTTCCCGTTGCGAATTATTCCTGTTGTTGTCCAGAGACTACCCTTCCTCTCAACTATCTCAGCCATTCCCAGTTTATCAACCCACTTGGCTTTTGATATGTCTTTCCTGCAAATCCATACCCGAATAAAGAAAAATGTTCACAGCCTTACCCTGTAAAAACAGAGATAAATACAGAACCAACGCTCGAAATTTATTGGCTGCGCTTAAAATGAGACGAAAGCAGAAGGCAACATGTGACTACGCACCTCTGTTTTGTAAGTTGCAACCTTTATTTAGCTTCGCAAATATTAAATATAAACCATTTGATTCTGCACCCCCATAGTGGTGTGCAGAATCAAGTTTTGAAGTAAACCATTGGGTGTACAGTCAAATATTGGGGTAAAACATGGAGAGTGAATTATGAAGTCAAAATTTCCCAAAAGAATATAACGTGTGTGTTCTACCACTTGCCACAGTGAACACTGAAAGGATAAAAAGAGAGAATAAAACACATTATACCTAAACTGCAATTTGGGTATATCACCCGATGAATACGAACATATATTCTCATCATCATCAAAGTCCTCCTCATAGTTCTCATTGTCTGTAGTTCCATCTGAAAAGCTAGCCCAATCGGTTTCCATAGCTTAGATACTCAATACCACCACCTACAGTTTCCATAAGAAAAACTATCAAGAAAAAATAAAGTTTGATTCGAAAACTTAGCCTCAATTTTTGAATCTTCAAGGCTCCAACAGCAATAGAGAAACAATGTTAAACATAACAAAAACAGTACCCATACAGTAAAATTATTTCATAAGATGAGTAGCAAAAACTCGCTAGTACCAAAAAATGTGCATCGGGTTCAAAGAAAGATTTATCCGTTTTAACCAAAAGCGTAAATGGGAAACAGACGTACTTCAGTAATACGAATCTTGTACGATTCGTACCGGGATAGGGAAGAACTTCGAGCGTCTTCGGGCTCCAAGAAAAGAGAGACGAGAGATTAAGAGAATTCTTGATTATCGATTGATTGAATGATAATGATACGGGTGATGGGGAATAACCCCACGTCAGCCTAGGGCTGACATCAGCATAAATTTCCTAAGTATCGGGCTTGGACGTCCCTGCTCGGCCATCTCGGCTCGCCTCATGCGCTCCGCTCGTCCCTCCTGCTCGGCTCACGCGCTCCGCTCGCCCCTCCTGCTCGGCTCGGCCCACCAAGCCGAGCCCGAACCCCGCGACAACAACGTGGAGAAAGCGACTTTCAACAAAGACTTGATGAAAGCGATGGGATGAAAGGGACAAGACCAAGGGACAGGTGACGTTCGCTAAACGACGAGCCTCGATAGGACTTTGACTTAATGTATTGTACCCCCTATAAAAGGGGTGGCACCCCTCATTGTAATGGATCCGATTTTTGAAGGAAATACACTCCTACTTTGCATTCTCTCTCTCTCTCTAAAACTTATATTATTTGATATTCTCGGTGGTTTATAGCCATCAAATTGGTGCTTTCATTGAGAGGAGAAGAACATACTCGAGGTTAACTCCCGGAAGCGAATGATGCAAACAAGGAGCAACGTCCCCACCACCAGCCACGTCGACGGCGAGGAGAACGCGCCGGGCATCGGCAACGGCACGGGGGCATCGGTTCGACTCCGGACGCGGTCCAGGCGCTGTTCGGCTTGGGGGTGACCACGGAGCAACTCCAGGCAGCCGTTGCGGCACTTTCCGCCATGGGTGGGAACGTGCCCGGCGCCGGAGCTGGCAAAGCTCCGCCCGGTCCCCATGCCGAACACGCTGCCACTTCCCAACACAAGGGGAAGAAGACCCGGAGGAGTAGAAGGAGGCCCGGCAAAGCCCCGGTGTTCGAGGAAGTGATAGTGGAGGACATTCCCGAAGGAGAAGACGATGAGTCCAGCGAGTGCCGAGTGTCGGCCTTCAAGCGCTTAGGTGGTGAAGAGACCCGGGTGTCGGCCTTCGACAGGCTCGACCGCAGACCGAAAGGTCGCCCGGGCGACCTCCGCTGACAAATATCCGAAGGCAGGCGGAGGCATGCTCAGGAGTCCGCGACATCGGATGCTTGCTCGGCGAGGCCCGAGCGGAGCGGAGAAAGGCGGGACGAGCGCACCCAGCGTCGCCATAGTCCGACGAGAACTGAGAAGACAAAGGTCTCGGACCAAGGGGTATCTCGGCTCGCTCGTGAGATCGCCGAGCTCAAGCGCCGAGTGGAGACCAAGGCTCCCTACAGCCAGCCCATCTTGTGGACGGTAACCCCGTTCACTCTGAGGGTTATGTCGATTTTGCTGCTGGAAAACTTTCGGCCATGGTAGATCAAGGCCTACAACGGAACGACGGACCCCCAAGATCATTTGTCTAAGTTCTACGCTTCCATGGAAGCGGCGGGAGCCCCAGACGAGGTCAAGTGCCGATGCTTTCTCGCGACGCTGGAAGGCTCCGCGTGTGATTGGTTCAACCGGCTCCCGAAGGGAACCATTGACGATTGGGATATGCTGGCGGAGAAGTTCCTAACGCACTTTGCGGCCAACAGAAGGCAAAGGCTGCCCTACTCCCACCTGCTCAACATCTGCATCCGCAAAGGAGAGAAGGTCCGCGACTTCATAGTCCGGTGGGAGAAGGAGGCTAGAGACGTGCACGGGGCGGATGACCAAGCTTTGGTGGCCATGTTCCAAGTAGCCCTTCCCCGCAGAGAGGTGAGGAAGGAGCTCTGCAAGAATCCTCCCCCCACGTATCAAGAGACCTTGGCACGCGCTAAGTTCTTGGCCTCGGAGGAGTTCGACGATGCTCCCGACTCCGAGGCCGCGTCGACCAAGAGAGTCCCGCAGAATTGGGGGAGACCGCAAAGAAGAGGAAGAAGAAGAAGGACTACACCGCGGGCCCTAGGACGCCTTCGGCCGGAGTGTACTCCGTGGGCGCACCCGTGGTGACTGGTCGAGAGCTTGCCCTCTCCCCTCTCTCTCACGTAGAGGCTTACGCGGTGTCCAGCGGTGGCAAGTATTGCGAGTATCATCGCAACAACACTCATAACACTAAGGAATGCTTCACTCTTCAGAAGGAGATGCAGCGACTTATCGCCCGAGGGCCGGCTCCGTGAGACGATGGAGCAGCCCCTTCCCGGGGTCCGCCGAAAGGAAGAATATGGAGGAAGCCGACCGAGCCGGTCGCAGTGGCGACGCAAGCAAGGAACCCCGAGAAGAGGCACATCGGGCGGGAATGCGATGATCTAGACGATGACGAAGCCCAAGGATATCCGATGAGATTTATTCATGGAGGAAACATTGGCGGGGACTCCATCGCTCAAAGGAAGAGGTGGAAGCACATGGCCTTCGTCGCAAAAGTCCATCAGGTGTCGGCGCCCAAGCTCGGAAGACGAGAGCAAATCTAATTCACGAAGAAGGATCTTCCGAACACGCCGAGCCTCCACCGGGATGCCTTGGTCGTGAAGATGGAGATTAACGATGCCATAGTGCACCGCACCTTGGTGGACACGGGAAGCTCGGTCAACATAATGTATGAGAAGACCTTCCAAGACCTCGGCTTGGACCGCAATGACTTAAAGCCTGTGCACACTCATCTCTCTGGGTTCACGGGGGATTCCATCGAGGCCAAAGGAGTAATCACTGTGCCCGTGATAGTAGGGGATGGTGCACACAAGGCCAAGTTGAAGATGGAGTTCATGGTTGTAAGCATCAATTGCGCGCACAACATGATACTAGGACGGCCCGGCCTGGAGAGCATGGAAGCGTATGTCGACGTCATGATTGTGAAGAGCAAGCAGGCGACCACCCATGCGGAAGACTTAGAAGGAGTTTTCAAGATTATGGAGAAGTACAACCTTCGGCTGAATCCGAAGAAGTACACGTTCGGAGTTCAAGGCGGTAAGTTCTTGGGACACATGGTGAGCAGGCGCGGTATTGAGCCCAACCCCGAGAAGGTGCGCGCCATCCTTGACATGGAAGCTACACGAAATGTCAAGGAGGTGCAGTGCTTGACCGGAAAGTTGGCTGCGCTCAGCCGTTTCCTTTCCAAGGTAGCGGACCGAGCCGCTCCGTTCTTCCAAGCTGTGAAGAAGTCCCGAGGGTTCGTATGGACGGAAGAATGCCAACAATCCTTTGAATCTCTCAAGTCCTACCTTCTCTCTCCTCCGGTTCTCGCGAAGCCCGAAGCTGGGGAGACGTTGTACTTATACTTGGGAGTTTCACCCAAGGCTTTGAGCTCGGTCCTAGTCCGAGACGAAGGTGGAGCTCAGCACCCGGTGTATTATACGGCGAAGACACTGAGGGGTGCCGAGCTCAGGTACTCAGTAGCCGAAAAGACGGTTCTGGCTGTGGTTTCAACCGTGCAGCGGCTAACTCCCTACTTCCAAGCTCGCCCGGTTCAAGTGCTCTCCCAACAGCCCATAGGTGCGCTGCTCAGGAGCCCGAACGCCCCTCCCGCATGTCCAAGTGGGCGGTGTTCCTTGGAGCTTTCCAAGTTGAGTTCAAGCCAAGGCCAGCGATCAAGGGCCAAGCGCTAGCTGACTTCGTGGTGGAGTGCACCTCTCGGGAGGAGCCGAGCCCGGAAGAGTCTGAAACCGATGACTGGTGGATAGTTTTTATCGACGGCTCCTCCGCCGCCAAAAACTCGGGGGGTGGTGTGGTAGTCATCGCTCCCAAAGGCTTCAGAGCATATTACTCAATTCGATTCGGTTTCAAGGCATCAAATAATGAAGCGGAATATGAAGCGCTCCTGTGCGGTACGCCTAGCAGCCGGGATGAACACAACAAAGCTAAGGGTAAAGTGTGATTCAAAGTTGGTGGTTGGCCACGTCTCGGGAGAGTTCGAGGCGAAGGACGAAAGAATGAAGAAGTACAGAGATACCGCTCTAGAATTACTCAAGAGCTTCACCGCGTATAGTGTTAAGCAGATCCCTCGGGCGGAGAATGCCGAGGCGGATATCTTGTCTAAGCTGAGCTCAGACACGTCCGAGCATATCAGGCGAATGGCGAACGTGGAAGAGTTGTCCGAGCCGAGCATCCATGCTTTCCCTGTGGCAATGATCTGTGCTCAACCAAGAGATTGGATGGACGACATAGTTGCCTTCTTGAAGGATGGCGCCCTCCCGGACGATGCAATAAAGGCCAAGTTGGTCCGGACTAGGGCACCCGGGTACACTTTGGAGGGCGAAAAGCTATACAAGCGAGCGTACAACGGTACGCTGCTCAGGTGCCTCCGACCAGCTGAAGCGGAACAAGTCATGGAGGAGGTGCACGCGGGGAATCTGTTCCGCCCACCAAGGAGCATACGCGGTGTCAAGGAAGATAACCCTCCAAGGATATTTTTGGCCAACAACTGTTAAGGATTGCGCGGAGTTTGTGAGAAAGTGCAAGATTTGCCAAGAGTTCTAGAAGGTACCGGGGAGGCCTTCAACAAACTATACCCCCATCAGCACAGCTATCCCGTTCGCGCGGTGGGGGTGGACCTCGTGGGCGCGCTTCCTAGAGGTACCGGGAACGTAAGGTACGTCATTGTAGCCATCGACTATTTCACCAAGTGGGTGGAGGCAGCCCCATTGGCAAGCATCACCGGAGCTCAATGCCAGAAATTTCTCGCAAAGCAAGTCATCTGCCGCTTCGGCGTTCCCGAACACGTAATCACAGACAATGGAACACAATTCAAGTCCAAGCCCTTTAACGACTTTCTCAAAAGTTGGGGGATCAAGCACAGCTATGTGTCGGTTGGGTACCCACAGACGAATGGACGGGACGAGAACGCCAACCGAATGATAGTCGACGGGCTGAAGCGAGAGTTGGAAGCTTGTGGAAGGGAGTGGGCAAAGGAGTTGCCCTACATCTTATGGACCTACCGGACCACGCCCCGAAGGGCGACCGGAGAAACTCCCTTCGCTCTATGCTACGGATTCGAGGCAAGGGCACCCGCAGAATTCTCCATCGCAACCCACCGGGAGGAGATCTTTGACCCCAAGCGCAATGAGGAAGCCCTGGCAGCCGAGCTTCACCTCGTGCATGAAAGGCGAGAAGCGGCCTTCATATGGGCAGAGAATTATCGAAGGAAGGTGAAGAGCTACCATGATGGGCGCGTGCCCGCGCGGGGGTTCGTCGAAGGAGATTGGGTGCTGCGCAAGAGAACGGTGAGCCGCCCCCTAGAAGGTGGAAAGTTTGCTAAAAATTACGAAGGCCATACATCATCAAAGAAGTGGTGGGCCCTTTGACGTTCCGCTTGCAGACGCCGAGTGGAGGGGACATGCCCAGGACATGGACCGCCGAGAACTTAGTTAAGTTTTATCAGTAGAACTCTGATGTACACGGACCCCAAAAAGGGAACCCGTAAACCCTTTTGGTTGAACTCAATGGAATGAAGTTTTTTGCGAAAAGAGCCTACTTGGACACTCGCGCTCGGTGCTCCTCCTCGGAAGGAAGGCCGAGCGCAGACCGTACCCGGATGTTTTTCTTCGGATGAAGGTCAAACACTCGCACTCGGCGCTCCTCCTCAGAAGGAAGGCCGAGCGCAGACCATACCCGGATGTTTTTCCTGGATGAAGGTCAAACACTCGCGCTCGGCGCTCCTCCTCGGAAGGAAGGCCGAGCGCAGACCATACCCGGATGTTTTTCCCGGATGAAGGTCAAACACTCGCTCGGCGCTCCTCCTCAGAAGGAAGGTCGAGCGCAGACCATACCCGGATGTTTTCCCCGGATGAAGGTCAAACACTCGCGCTCGGCGCCCCTCCTCGGAAGGAAGGCCGAGCGCAGATCATACCCGGATGTTTTTCCCGAATGAAGGTCAAACACTCGCGCTCGGCGCTCCTCCTCGAAAGGAAGGCCGAGCGCAAATCATACCCGGATGTCTTTCCCGAATGAAGGTCAACACCCGCGCTCGACGCTCCTCCTCGGAAGGAAGGTCGAGCGCAGGCCGTACCCGGATGTTCTTCTCGCATGAAGGTCAAACATTCGCGCTCGGTGCTCCTCAGAGAGGAGGAGGGCCGAGCGCAGGTCATACCCAGATGTCATTTTTGGAGGGAAGTCAAACATTCGCGCTCAAAACTAATGACTAAGAGCAAGACTTAAGATCAAATTCAAGTTTTATTCATCCCTGAAAAAGGGGCAAGACACGGCGCAAACGCCTTACAATAATTGAAATATGAAAATAAACTTCAATGCATGCCACAATTCAACCCTTGCTTGCATGGGCACGGCGAGGGATAAGACGGTGGTGAAGGAGCCCTCCCAACAAAGGAATGGCCGGTGGACTCGCCAATGCTAGGCGAGCCCGGGTCTTCGTTGGATTGACAACTTGGGTGGTGTGACGCCACTGAGCTCTCACCGAGGCCATCCACCGGGGGAGTGGGAGGGCGACGCCCATACAAAAGATGAGATGTTGCCCTACATGACCTAATGGGCTCGGGCCCATACAAAAATCCTAATCTATAGAATATTAATAAATAATAATAAATAACTATTAAATAATAATATAACTAATTAAAATATTCTAATTAACTATCCGTAAAAAGATGCAATATCTGCATAAGGTGCAAAAATAAAGATAACTTCACAATCTGCACTGATTGAAACAAAATGCTGAGAATTGATATGCATTCTCATAGAGCAAGTCCTTAGCCAATCGCCGAGGAATAGATGGAAACTCTTCCTGAAACGTGCTATATGGTGTGAAGCGAGAATGAAAAATGAATTCTAAGAGCCTTAAAATCTGGGCATGCCAAGTTAGTAAGTCCAAAACAAAATAAACAAGGACTCAAGAAACGAAAGCATTTGTGTCATAGGAGGAAACAATCAAATCAAGTTTTACAATTTTCTTTGAACGCATAGAAGGTGTTGTAGATGAACTCCAAAATGGATAGAATAAGAGAAAATAAACATGAAAACTGTTGCAATAAACTGTGGCGTATAAGGAAATTAAAGTTAATTGATTCATATCAAAATGATAAACTACAACAATATATACATTGATTTGATTAATCAAATCATCCAATCTTAGAGTACAAAATACGCCACACATCACAAATCACGATTCACTAAATATATACCTGATAAGCGGCGGAGCTGAGGCTGATGCGAGCGGCGGAGCTAGGGTTAGTTGAATATAATAATGCTTTGGCAGCTAGGCAGAAGTGCAGCGAGCTACTTGGCGATGCAGCTCAGAGCGAATTGGGATTTGCTCTTTGCGGGCAGCGGGGCAGGCCTGAAATCGGGTTTCGGAATATGAACGTTAGAGCATCTCTATGCTAAAACCATTTCCCCTCCCATTAGTTCATTGGTTTCCAAAATTGTGGGGCCTAAACTTTTATGAAAACTTTAATTTAATAACACAACTCCAAAATCTTTTATAAAAATATCTACCTCCGTCCCAAAAAGAATTTTCTACTTTAGTTAACGTGCAAAATCTTGTGGATTTTAAAATGATTTTATTTACAAATTGGTAAAGAAATTACACATAAAAAAAATATATTTAAAAACTACATCGAAAACTCTACAAAATAAAAGATCACAAGAATATTTTATTTTATCAAATAATTAATGAAAACACACAAACAAATAAGAGTTATCGAGAGGCCGTAATAGTAAACAGGAAAGACTTTTTGGGACGGATGAAGTATAATTTTATTATTTTTTTACTAAAAGTTCATTTGCACATTACTAGATAACGAGTAGATCTTTACACTCACATAATTTACAATCTTTTCTTTTTGGACCATGCTACACTTACACCAAAAAATATACCCCATTTGTACACCACAGGTTTGCACAAACATTTTGATGGTTTACACCGACACAAGTGTTGGTGCGTTAATAAAAATTCACACGGACACAAATGTTGGTGCATTTAACAAAAATTAGTTTTACACCAACACAAAGTGTTGGTGCAAAACTGCGAGGTACAAATTGGGGTACAAAACTTGGGGTACACATAGCATAATCCTTTCTTTTTCAATCAACTTCCCTTTCTTTCTCTCCTTTCTTTTTCCCCTCTTTTCTTTTATTTTTTCTTTCTTTTCTTTTTTCTTATTTGCTACTCTGTATTTTTTTCCTCTTTTCTTTTGCTTCTTTTTTTCTTTTGATCCTTTTTAAACTCTTTATTTATTTTTTATTCATTTTTACTTTTTATCATATCTATCCTTTTCATTTCTATCACTTTATATATTTTTGTTAGTTTATTCTCTAATTCTTATTTCTTTGCAAAATTTTTGACTTCGAGTATTTCTAAGGTGGATCTAATGTTCGAGTTTTTTCAGTCCTCAAAATTTTTAATATTTTTTTTTATAAAATGCACATCACAACAATAAGTATTTACTTACCTCGCTTATTTGTGAGTAGAGACCCACAATAAAATTTATATTTAACTTAACCTAAAATTTACCTTTAATTAACCTCTTTTTCCTTAAAAAAACTTACCTCTTTAGGAGTAACTTTTTTTAAAGAAAAATTATATGAAAACACCCAAACTTTACTCAGTTTTATATTTATAGTACAAACTTTTTTTCCAATTCAATGCAAATAGTTTATTTTTTTGTCAATTTTAGGCATACAGTTTATTTCATACCATATTTTTTCTCTGCAACAATACATATTTATTTTCAATTCACATAGATCCCACATATATTGTCCCTTCAGTGCTCTCAAATTTTGAATTGGTTAGTATGACTTAAATTCAGAATTTGTACATAGGTTTTAATGAATTTTTGAAGTTGTTTTAATTTGATGACATAGGAATACAATGCATACTTTTTTTGAAAAATAAAGTAGAGATAATTAATTTATTTTCATCTATTGAATTTTTTCACCTCAGTTTTTGTGAACAATTTTTTAATAGAGGATGTGAAAAAGAAATAAGAGTACAAACTGGATGCCTTAAATTGGCAAAGAAATAAAGGTTGTATACTTAATTGACAAAAAATAATATTTAAAAATGTTAAGAACTCATCATAGGTGTTCACACGAGGGGTGAGTTCGGTTTTGGCGGTTTGGTTTTCATCCAAAACCAAAGACAAAATAGAAGGTAAGTTGGCGATTTGGTTTGGTTCGATTTTGCATTTAAAATATGTAAATCGTTGATTATTCGGTTTGTTTTTATGCAGTTTTTTTTTGGTTTTTTTGGTTTATTACGTTTTTAAAAATAAAAATTTATAAGCATTAAAAAATAGTAAAAATACTAACCCGATGAAGGATAGCAATATGTAGGTCTGGGTTTAGTTTTTTGGTTTGATTTTTATACAAAACCAAGAACCGAACGAAAAGTTAGTGTTCCGTTCGGTTCAATTTTTTTTAAAAAAATATGTGTCGAGAGCCCAACAGAAATATAAGAGATTCCAAAACCCAAATTTACTCCTAGAGACATCATATGTAAATATGCGGAGAATTTACATTTTTGGTATAATACTTTCATTTGCATTATAGCATCAAAGTTTTTATTTTTAAATTTTTTTAAAGTTTATAATATGATTTAAAATGTTTAATTAATAGTTAAAAGAATAATTTTAATCAACTAGTCAAATATTTACATTTATATTTCTATGACTTTTTACATATCACATATGCTTATATAAATAAAGTGAAATACCTAAGAAAGTTCGGTTTTTCAAAGTGAAAACCAAAACTAAAACCAAACAATAACATTTTGGTTCGATTTTTTTCTAGCTCATTTCGATTACTTTTTAATACAAATTTTCTCTTTTTTTCTGTTTTTGAAAACCAATTGACCCCTATAGTCTGTTGATCTTTTTTCCTTCCGTTGCCGATCTGCAATCCCTCTTTCCCCGTCCCAAAAGAATTCGATCTCCTACAGCGATTCTGTTTTGAGTCCTTGCAGTTTTTCCGGCGCATCTCCGGCCACCTCCAATTGATGCAAGCAGTCGCAAGGGAAACCTAGCCATACCCTGAGGCACGGCCAGCATAGGAGAGCACTGCAGAGCTATGAGTGGGAAAGCCCGGAATTTCCGCCGCCGCGGCGGGGACGACGTTGACGAGGGCGAAACGCCTGCAGTTTCCGCTCCCAATGGAAACTCCACGAAGCCGCTTGCCAAACCGGTCGCAGGCTCCGGCAACCACAAAAAGTCTCTAACCCTAGCCCCCAAGAGCCTACTCAGCTTTGCTGATGACGAAGATTCCGAAGATTCTCCTTTTGTTCGGACTTCTAGACCCTCCTCTTCCGGCACAATGCTCGCCAAGGCGTCCTCCTCTCACAAGCTGTCATCTGGGAAAGGTAAAAGCGGTGCCGCGGCTTCTCTCACCTCCAATGTGCAGCCCCAAGCTGGTACTTACACTAAAGAAGCTCTCCTTGAGCTCCAGAAGAATACTAAAACCCTAGCAAGTTCCCGCCCTACTCAGTTAAAATCGAAACCCGAGTCCTTGGAGCCTGTCATTGTGTTAAAGGGGCTTGTTAAGCCACCTATTACTATTGGCACTGAGTTGGAGAAGAAACATGATAGCGATAGTGAAAAAGATGATGAGATGATTGAGAGACAGGGCGTGTCGCTAGGACAAGATAGGGAGAATACATTGAATAGGCTTGGTTCTATGGAGTTGGATAAGGGTTTGAGGAGTACTGATGATATCGGGTCAGAGATACCAGATCAGGCAATGATAGATGCAATAAGGGCTAAGCGGGAGAGACTCAGGCAAGCTCGGGCTGCTGCCCCAGACTATATTTCATTAGATAGAGGAAGCAATCATGGGGAAGAAGATGGCTTGACTGACGAGGAACCAGAGTTTCAAGGGAGAATTGGGTTCTTTGGCAAAAATGTTGATAAGGGGAAGAGGGGAGTCTTTGAGGATTTTGAGGCTAGCGGGTCACATAAGGATGGTGTAGTCGAATGTGTGTATGATGAGGAGGAAGAAGATAAAATGTGGGAAGAAGAACAGGTGAGGAAGGGCCTTGGAAAGAGGGTGGATGATGGTTCTAGTAGAGGAGTTAGTTCTAGTGATGGTGGTGTTGGTAATAACCCTGTAGCTTCTAGTATTCTGCAGACTAAGTTTGGATATCCAGTAGGTGGAGCTAGTGTATATTCGTCAGTGCCGACTGTTGTTCCAGTTATTAGTCCTAGTAGTGCAGGAGGTTCAGATACTCTCTCAGTCTCACAGCAAGCTGAGCTTTCCAAGAAATCATTGCTTGCCAATGTGTCTAGGCTTAAGGTATTTTGGATTCAATTGAACTACTTTTGTTGTATGCTCTACACACACACATATATATGTTTGGACAAATGGTTCCTTTCTTTAAGTGAACATAAATATCTCATTTTCTCAAAGCATTGAAATAAGGCCTGATCATGCAAAATCATGATATCTTTCCTTACTGAGCATACTAATATTATAAGAACTATGAAAGTATGAAGGTAAGAACAAACTCTGTGAGGCTTTATGTCTTAAAGATGTATCTTGTTTTGAACCAATACATTTTTTACCGCTAAATGGTTATGTTTTGATCTGAGCTACTTTCAACTTAGAGTGGAAGTATATGTTATGACTCAGTATCAAGCCCCATTTTATATGACTATCATTATCCTCTTTTGCCATGAGCTTCGCTTCAGAAGTTCCCTGCTGTTCTACTTTTTCACAGGAAGCGTAATTTTCTTTTCATAATTAATGTTATGATCTGCCAGTAATTCTTACCATTTCCTCTACTCTTCAAATATTGTTTATAGAGAAATCCAAGTATTTAAGGAAGGGTGTATACTATATGTTTTTATCTGGATCTTTTACTATACTTATACATTTGAATTTTGGCTGTAAACATACGTTTCAGTGGTGAAATACTTCCTTGTGACATTTGATTAACTATTTACTTGGCAATTTTCTGTTTGAAGAGGGCTTATGCATGTGGAAATACATTATAAATTCTGCATTTTGTTTTTCCTTGGTCAGGAATCTCATGGCCGAACTCTAAAATCTTTGAGCAAGACAGAAGAAAATTTGTCTTCTTCATTGTCAAATTTGACTGCTTTGGAAAATTCTTTTTCTGCTGCTAGTGAAAAGTACATCTTCATGCAAGACCTCGGGGACTTTGTTTCTGTCATGTGTTCATTTCTGCAGGTATGGTTTACAGAATTTTTGACTTGCAATTTTGAATCTCATTGTTATTTTCTTTAATTCACAGTGGGCTTATTTTTAAATAAGTCACATATATTGTATATTTACCTCATATTCTGTGCTTATTTATGTACGAATCGTTGTGTGCGAATCATGGCATAACCCGAGGAGTGGTTAATTTGTATTTAGAAGAATTGCCTGGATTACTAAAGGTCCAGTGTTGCATTGTAGTAAAGAAATATATTGGTTTTAACTTGCATTTTGTAACCCACCCTCATTATCATTACTGGGGTAGAATTGGAAGGTCAAATGCCTTCTATAACCCACCCCCATTACCATTCCCGGGGTAGAGTTGGAAGGTCAAAGGCCTTCTATACATTTCTATAATATGTGTCAAGTCCATTTGTGTCTTTAGTTATGGGACAGAGGGAGTATTAAATTTGAGTGAAATTTTTATTTCATTGTAGGAGAAAGCTCCTTACATAGAGGAACTAGAAGACCAGATGCAAAAACTTCATAAAGCACGGGCAGAGGCAATTTTAGATAGAAGAGCTGCCGATAATGAGGATGAAATGAGAGAACTAGAAAATGCTATTAGTGCAGCAAAGCAAGTTTTTTGTGAACGCGGTTGCAGTGCTGCTACAATAGCTCTTGCAAAAGAAGCTGCCGGGAAAGCTGCTGCTGAGGCAAGAAGGCAAAGAGACATTCCTGTAAAGCTAGATGAATTTGGTAGAGATTTGAATCAGCAGAAAAGAATGGATATGAGAAGAAGAGAAAAGGATCGAGAACGTAGGAGAGCTAAATCTGATGCTAAAAGAATGTCCTCCATTGAAAACGACAGTTCCTATCAGCGTGTAGAGGGAGAGTCAAGCACTGATGAGAGTGACAGTGAGAGCACTGCCTACAAATCCAACCGCGATCAGTTGCTTCAGGTTGCTGACGAGATATTTGGTGACACAAATGATGAATACTCCCAATTAGCTATGGTTGTTAGTAAGTTTGAGAGATGGAAGAAACAGTATTCTTCAAGCTATCGTGATGCTTACATGTCTCTAAGCCTTCCTGCTATTCTCTCGCCCTATGTTAGATTGGAGCTTTTGAGATGGGACCCCCTTCATGAAGATGCAGACTTTAGTGATATGAAATGGTATGTCTTCTCAAACTCATGGTAGTTAATTACCTGAGGCCTTTACATGGTGATTTTTAGTATTAACTCATAATCTAAGTTTTTGCAATTGGACAGTAGAAAGCATCACAGTACTTAAATATGGTTTAAGTGTCTCTACTATGTATCTAGACTATGAGCTTGTTCTTTTGTGTTTGTAAAGTTAACTTTCAACGTTTTCCAACTCTTTCAAGTTTCTTCCAATTCTTTCCAATTTCTTCCAATAACGACTTAAAAAAAGTATTTACATATGATGAATATACAATTACTTCATATATCCAAATTGATAACATACCATCTCAAACACGGGCAACGATGAATTCTTTTTTATCCAAAATTAGTTTTCTTACATATTTATTTGGGTGATCATTTAATGGAATGATTTTTTTTACACTTATTTTCCAACATTCTCCACCCCCTTCCAGTTTTTTCCAACTCCTTCCAGTTTCATCAAACTCCTTTCAGTTTCTTCCAACATCCAACTTTGCTTTTCCAACTTTGCCATGATTCTTTGGTAAATATTCGAGCTTTAACACTACAATGTGTTTCACATTTGAAGGTTTTTTTTGTCTCCAGGCATTCTTTGCTCTACAACTATGGACTCCCTAATGGTGATGGTGATATTAGTTCTGATGATGCCGATGCTGATAGTAACCTCCTCATTCCTCAACTTGTGGAAAAGCTTGCAATTCCTATCATTCACTATCATTTGGAGTACTGTTGGGACATACTAAGCACTCGTGAAACAAAATATGCAGTCTCTGCCATGAAGTTGGTGTTTGGATATGTTCCCTTTTCTAGTTCTGCTCTATGCAATTTGGTTGCAGTTCTGCGTAACCGCCTGGCTGATGCTGTGGCTAATTTAGTGGTATTTTATAATTCTCTAGCTTAAGTGTTTCTTAACACGATAGTTCAATTTTTCTGTCCCATGTGATGTTTTTATGCATTCTTTTACAGGTTCCCAAATGGGACAATCTTGTAATGAAGGCTGTTCCAAATGCAGCTCGTATTGCAGCATATGGCTTTGGCACGTCTGTTCGTTTGATGAGAAATATATGCTTGTGGAATAATGTTCTTGCAATTCCTATATTGGAGAAGCTTGCTCTTGATGAGCTCTTAAGTGGAAAGGTTCTTCCCCATCTTTGGAACCTTCAATCAGACATTGATGATGCAATTACGAGAACTGAGAGAATTGTTGCTTCACTATATGGAGTCTGGGCCGGTCCAAATGTCATTGGTGGTAACAGGTAGTGCTTATTTATGTACTTTCTGCTTCAACACTATTTCTTCTTTTACCAGGTTCAAATGTCATTGGTGGTAACACGTTCTTTCTGCTTACTTATGATGTGCCATTTATTTGTAAAAAAATAGTTAACCCTAAAATTAATGCAATAAAACGTGGTGACAAGGTCCTACAGACCAACCTTTTTACAAAGGAATAATTAAACGGAATGTCAAAAATCTACATCATCACAGGTCATTTCCCGTTGCATGTTAAATATCATGAGACGACAATTGGTAAAAAAATTGCTATTGGCATGTCCAATTACATGATTTATATTTGTAGGCACATCTCCCTATTTTTGAGTAAGGGTATGGTCTGCATACACACACACACCACCCAAATCTCGTTGGATTCAATTGGGTTGTTGTTGTTTTTGCTGCACATCTCAATGAATAAATTAGCAAATTTCAAAACTTATGTAACCGTGATGCCATGGTGCTCACCTTCATATCTTTCGCTAGACAGTCATCCATGTAATCACCATGTACCTGAGTCTTTAGTGTAACCGCAGTGCCATAAGGCCAACAAGTACCTAAGCTGCTCTTTGTGTCTTGACTATAGTGTCATGCTCATGATTGGTTCTCAACTGTCAATTCGTTCACTTTTTCCCTTTGGATTCTCAAAATGTACAACAAGAACACTCCAAATACCCTTATATGATTGATTTAGTTTGTATAGTTGAGGCCTTTTAGCCTTTTTAAATTCAATTTGATACATAGAGGCTGCAAGGAGTCCCCGACAACCAAGTTAATTTGTGAAGCACTGCCGTCTCCTTCCATGATAATTATTCAATACACAAGTTCATTTGTGAAGCATTACAGTCTCCATCCATGATAATTATTCAACACTAATAGTATAACCCGAGTTTTTTGTTTTGAAAAACACCAAACCTTTTGCATGTACTTAAAAAGTGAATTAAGTCTGAAAATTGATGGTGCAAGAAACGTGAAATAAGACTGAAAATTGACAATCACATCTCATCTCATTTTCACATGAATAATCCCACCGATAATCCCAGGCCATTTCATTTGATGATGTGAAATGAGTCTGAAATTCGATACTCGAGTGCCAAAGTTGATGTGAAATATGTTTCCGGTCCCTGCTTATGTGGGGCATGTGCGAGGGCCTAAGTGGGTCATTTTGATTTCTAGTACCTGAGGCGGCCAAATGCTAAGGATCAATCTGTGCCATTTTAAAAGGCCGGGTCATTAATGGGTTCTTTCTTGTTAGTTTGTAGGTTAAATGGAACTTTTGAAGTTTAGATGTTCGGGTTTTTCTTTAACGCACACTCTACTGGCGTCAATGGACAATAATAACCTAATGTCTTCTTTCTTTGTTTTCATTCATGCAGTCCTAAGCTCCAGCCATTGCTTGATTATTTGCTAAGACTGAGTAAAGCTCTGGAGAAGAAGCATTTGGCGACCGGAGCAGAGGTGGAGACTGGAAAACTTGCTCGCAGGCTGAAGAAGATGCTGGTTGAGCTCAACGAATATGACCACGCCAGGGAAATTTCAAAAACATTCAGCATCAAAGAAGCATTATGAACACTTCCACTCCACCAAACCACCACAGGTTAAGATTTTCTCCACCTCTCCCCCCCCCCGGGGACCCACGTGGGTCCCGCATTCTGGAGAGTGATTCGAGACTGATCAATGAGGTAATGTGGTTGCTTCAGTCACCATTCTTACCGGATATGACTTATATAGCTTGAAATGTGAACATATGCAGCTTCATAGGAATCTCTCCCTTTCATCATCTTAGGCCTGGTCTGGTGGGAACTTTTCTGGTTTCAGTTTTTTTTTTTAATTTTTAGTTTTTATTTTTGAGAATTAGGTAACCACAAAAAGTGGGTTTCAGTTTCTGTTGACAGTTTAAAGAATTAATATGATTGGTATGATGAGTAGTTTTGGTTTACTATATGATGTAAATTAATTTTTGTTTTACTATATAGTGTAAATTACTATTCCCTTCCTGGTTAGAAGAGAGTGATAGAAGGGGAAGGTGAATTAAAGGATATATAAGAGATTTTTTTAAAAAAAATAGGCTTTGGGAATAAATGAAGAGTTGAGGGATTCAAAAGGGATGATTTCCCATCCTAAATTCTTTTTTTAATACCTCAAATTGGAGTAAAATGAGGGGAAATGAGAATCATCTCTTCATAAAAATTTTAATCCAAATAAATATATCATCTCTCCCTTCCTTTTCTAGATACTACTCTCCTTCTCTTATAGTAGTTATAGATAGTGTTCGGCAACTAATATTTTATTTTAATTTTTGTATTTCAATTTCAAAACTTAAGTTCTTGAATTTCAAATTACAAGAAGAGACATATGGATTTGTAATCGAGATTTGTAATGATTATATTAATTTTTAAGATATTCCCAAAAATGAAATTTGAGTCAAATTCAGATTTGAAACCCAAATTACAGTTTTCGAACACGTCATTATTGAATTCCTCCCTCCAAACAAAACATGTTTCTATTTTAATAAAGGAATAAATTACTCAAAATAATCTTAACTTTATCCGGTCTTTCAAAAATAATCTCACCTTTCACTGTGGTGCATAATAATTCTAACTTTTTTGAAATTTGCGAGTTTTGGATCGCCGTTAAGTTTCTAACGGAGGGTTAACGGAAATGCTTGTTTTTTGCAACAAAATGAAGGTTGGGATTATTTTTGATGAATTTTTCTTTTTTACAGTATTTTTTTTGAAATTTTTATTTAATTTTTTGGAATTACTTTCAATCTCCATTTCTTTTTCTTTTTTAAATATTATTCTTACATTATAAAAAATAAAAAATAGATATAAAAACAATGAAAATGAGAAATAACTAAAACCATACAAAATTAATGAAATAAATAATGTAATCAATAGAAATTAAACAGAAACGGGTAAGAAATAAAATAAATATATACGGAGTGGTGGGTTTTAACATTTTACACACTATACGGAGTCTTAATGTACCACTTATTTTTTAAAAAAACAATCTGTCCGGGAAAGTTGGAATTATTATAGATAATTTTTTCTAAAAAATAAGAAGTGATACGTTAATACTTTGTATAGTGCGTAAAATATTAAAACGCACCCGTATATTTATATTTTTTAATACCAATTTCAAGTTAGTTTCTATTGATTACCTTATTTATTTAATTAGTTTTGTATAATTTTAGCTACATTTCTTAATTTTTTTATTTTTTATATCTATTATTTTTATTTTTTTAAACTAAGACTAATCTTTAAAAAAGGAAAAAGAAATGATGATGGAGATGATAGAAAGTAATTTTAAAAATTTAAATGAAAAATTCAAAAAAATAAAAAAATAAAAGAATGAAAATTCATCAAAAACAATCCCAACTTTCATTTTGTTACCCAAAACAAACATTTTCGTTAACCCTCTGTTAGAAACTTAACGGCAACCCAAAACTCGCAAAACTCAGTAAAGTTCGGATTATTATGCATCACATTGAAAGGTGGGATTATTTTTGAAAGACTGGGTAAAGTTGGGATTATTTTGGATAATATTTCTTTTTAAAAAATAGTTCTTACTTATTTTTATTGTAATCAAATCAGATCATATCGGATTAATTAAACGAGACCTTAATAAAATTAAATTAGATAAAAAACAAGATCTTTAACTTGATATCTCAACCCGGTCTGTAATAATAAATCCTGAGATGAGATTGCCCGGTAATGTCATGGGATGACTCGGGGATGCTACGTTGCGCCGCTTGTAAAATTAACGATTCCAACTCCTTCTAACCCCCCAGCACATCCTTCCCGCCTTCAATTGCACCCCTAGCGCACCCTCCCCGCCTTCAATTGCACCCCTAGTTAATTTTGATTTGAGAGTCAATTAGTCAATTGAAGAGGGTGGTATGTGTTCGGGTCGGTGCGGGGTGGAGTTAAGGAGAATATGAACCGTCAATTTTATGAATGAGACACCATAGCGCACTCTAGTCATCTCCTGACATGAGATTCCAATATCATGAGAACCCTTCCGACTAATTAATGCTATCAACTAATGTTATTAATTAAGGGAAAAAGAACCTTAAACAATTAACTCCCTAAAATACACACATGCCCCTCACCAGATAATGCTCAGTGCATTCATGCCGCATACTACGTCCAGTTTGATATTTTTTACTCCGTATAATCAAAATTGATAGTAATATTTAACCATACATTAAATAAAATTCTAATTAAATATTGATGCAAAAAAGAACTACTATTTGATTGATATCGTAAAATATTCTTAAAATATTATTTTATCTACTACTCCCTCCGTTCGGGAATAATCTTCCCGGTTTGACTTTTACTCATTTTTAGTGAGTGTTGACTATGTTGGGAATTAAACACACAACACACACAAATATCTGCGAGAAACGAGAGAAAACGGAACACAAACGACACACAAGAATTTAACGTGGTTCGGTTTCCCTAATCCACGGCTGCAACAGGAGGAATTTCTTATTCACTTGTGGTGTCTCACGGAATTACAAGTACAAGGCTCAATATATAGGAGGAAAACAACCTAGGTTACATCACATGGGCCGGGCCAACAAGACAAGCCCAAGCCTCCACAAACCCAACATTCTCCCACTTGGAGGCTTGATAATCATCAACTGCCATCCGCCACGATCGCCTGTACGTCGAGTAATCTTCCTCAGCTCTCCTGTTGCAGCGGCCCTCTCATCAGACAACTGAAAGGCTCGTTGAAGCTCTCCCAAGCTCCAACACATCAGTCATGACTAAATCTGCCACTGACTCGTCCTCGGTCCCTACCGGCTCCCACTGCAGACGCACACTGCCGGATCCTGGAACATCCTGAGAACAAACACTCTCCATACTCAGCAAGAAAATTTATGGAGATGTTCCAACAGCTGGAATACTGGTTCTCCTGACCTACTGTCTTCTAGGCAACTTGGCTGAAGCGCCTCTTGAGCTCCCACTGCCATAAATACCTCTGACTGGGCTCCTTGAACCTTTCCTTGCTCGTTCATCCCGAGTCTGACCTGTGGCATTAGGTTTCTCTCTTGCATAGACAACCTTATTCTGCCCACAAGACTCTGTGAACCGAACTTTGTTTCTCTTCTGAACTGGGGCGGTCACTCCCTCAGATGGTAACTCGACCAAATACAACGAACCACTCTTCCTTCCGCGGGCCATGACAAGATTTCCCATCACGACCTTCCACTGCCCATCTCTGAACTTCACCTCGTGTCCCTGTTCGTCTAACTGCCTGACAGAAATCAAACTTTTCTTCAAGGCTGGAACCACTCTGACATCCTTCAAAGTCCAGAAACCGACTGAGGTCTTCAACACCATGTCACCCATGCCCGTCACCTCAAGAGCACTGTCGTCCGCTAGTCGTACCTTTCCAAAGTCCCCAATAACCAGATTCTGCAATGCTTCACCGCTGTGGGTGGCATGAAATGAAGCACCAGAATCCATGACCCAGGAATCCACATTGCTTTCCTCGCAGCAAGTCAAAGTGACCTCCTCGTCACTCGTAGAGCCTTCAGCAATGTTCACTTTCTTGTCACTCGGACATTGATTCCTAAAATGCCCCACCTCCTTGCATTTCCAGCACGTTACACCTGAGCTATCCCGAGTCTTGGACTGACTCCTTCGTCTGTTCGTGCTCCCACTACCTCTGCTATTCCTTCTGCCTCTACCAACATGAAGTAATTCACCAGATGACTCCTCTGAACTCTTTCTTCTGACATCCTCGCCAAGAACGAGATCTCGAATCTGATCAAAGGTGAATCCATCAGGCCCCACTGAACCGGTAACCGCTGTAACCGTTCTGGACCAACTATCAGGCAAAGACGATAGCAGTAGCAAAGCTTGAACTTCATCATCGAACTTAATGCCCACTGACGCAAGTCTGGCTAAGATCGAATTCAACTTGTTGATATGCTCGGTAACTAAAGTGCCTTCCTCATCCTTGTATTCACCAGCTCTCTAATCAGAAAAACTTTGTTAGCTGCAGATGGCTTCTCGTACAT